GCTGGCCGCAATCCACCAACGTTGAAGAGATCTTTTGAAGAGTAACAGTGTGCACAGGCAGCGAAAGAGGGCTGCACACTTCACAGGTAGAGCGGTACCAACAGTTTTAGAGGAGTTGAATCTATATACGCTAAAAGCATTCACTGCCTTCAGCTTCTTAAAATCTCGATGTATTAGAGTTTTTGACAAAAATGGTTCCCTCCTCTTTACGCCAGCTCTGCTTCCGTCTTACGTGCATTTTATATAGTTCATTTCAGCCACAAAATGTTTCTCCTGGTTTATTCTCAGGACAATAAATGCAATGGACATCGGCGTAGCTGGACCTCGCTCGAAAAAAAAGTACTGTTCAAGCACATAAAGCATCGCCGCAGAAACAAGCCATCCGCGTTCTCCTTGAGGGACAGAAACGGTAAACCGACAAATGACCCGACAGTGGTATCTGAGATTTACAGAGAACACTATGCGTGTCTATACTCAGCCCCAGCGTCCTCGCTAAATACACTCTTTTCAAGGCGAAACTACGTACAGCCTATAACCGACTTGGTCTTCACGATGGAGGACATTCGTCAACTCTTGCACAAGATCAACCCATTCTACGCTTTGGGGCCCGACGGGGTCCATCCAAGGATCCTGAAGGAAACGTCCTCCACACTGACAAAACATTTGCACATGGTATTTCGCCAGTTGCTTGACAAGAGCCGCCTTTCCCCTGCTTGGAGTGAAGCGATTGTCACGCCAATCTACAAAACTGGTGACCGACTATCGCCTGGCGGCTATAGGCCTATAAGCCTCACTAGCGCGCCGTGCAAAGTGATGGAACGCATTCTGAAGCGAGCGGATGTCCTCAAACTTGGCCACCTCACTGCACCATGAGAAATTGGCCCAAAGGGCATTCGCCATTTTACGGATGATCCGACTCACCTTCTCCGGTATTACTCGCATGGACTTCCAAATACTCTATGGGGCCTACGTCAGACTGCCCCTGGAATACGCCAACCAAGTTGTCTAGTCAGGACGAACGAAAGGCGTCACCCTCATTGAGCGTGTCCAGTGGCCGCTACGAGAATGGTTAACGGCCTTAAGTCCCTGGACTACGAAACGCGTCTCGCGATGCTTGATATCTTTCCACTGGAGTACCGTCACCTCGGAGGTGACCTAATTCTTACATACACCCTGTTTGAACAAAGCTTGGCAAACAGGTTTTTTACCGTTGACCCAGCAAACACCCCGTGGGGACATAGTAAGTAAATTTTCAAGCTCAGAGCACACACATTCACTGGACAAAATTTTTTCTCATTTCGGGTATTAGCTGCGTGGAATGACCTTCTTCCAGCGGTTGTTCACGCTCCTCCTAGAACCCAGTTTAAAGCACTATTAGACATTCATTTATGCGAATCCTCGCGCTGGCAAGCATACTGCCCCGCGCTGAGAATATAAAGAGCAGTGCTACACCCTTTTTCCACTTGTGCCTTTCAGGTGAATGACAGCCACTGACCGACAAGAAAAAAGGGGCCCGGGAAACTTGAGCAATAGCCTCGATCCTGCGTATCAGTGCGTGAATCCGTGAATCCGTGACCTGCTCACGACTGATATTTATATGGATAGGAAAGAGTCGCCGTAAAGTAGCTGTTTTTAACGTTTAAATCATCTTAGTGTGCTCTGCCTTACGCTTTGACAGCATGTGAATAAGGAACAGGAGACCATCCAAAGATGTGTTACAAGGATATGAAGGTTATTCACAGCAGTGCAGGTGAGCATCTCTTTGGAGCCAGACACCAAGTCGTTATTTGTAGTTGAATTTGAAGAACATGCTGGTATCCAGTCTTTGGTTGTCTCAATAGCGTGGGTCCTTAGGCCATGTATTCTCATGAACCTCACGGTCCGTTTGGCGAGAGACAATTCCTCACCGGTGTTTACTGAATCACCTCAATGAGGCTTTTGACTGTCATTCAATACGAAAGATTGTTCCGGTACTTTCGCTCGAGTGGTGCCCAAAAGTAATAATTCTTATGTGATTTTTATGGGTAATCACTGTTGAAGAGGGTAAAGCGCGATCCCGTAGTGCCTTTACTTGTGCTCTGCAGTTTGGGCCATTATGTGACTGGTCTAGTCCCAGGTCCATACGTCGCTGCTTTTCTTCATGGTTAACACTATCATTGCGAGAATATCACAAACGTGCCTATTACAATAGGATTCCAAGAGGGTTGGCGCGTCCTGTTCCCTACCCAACGCCACTAATTTGATTTGTCATCCCAGAAGTATTTGGCTTTTATTATGCATTATATAAACTACACCAGAGTACGCACCAAGGGTACAGACATAACAAGGCCGCTGACAACTTATCAGGTATTTGCAACCGCCCCTCAGTAATGTTGTGCGCCTTAGCGCATTTCTAAGTATAGAGAAGATGCACACAGGCTGGCACGAGAGCTCAAGAAATGTGACGAACAACTCGTCTCATCTTTTATCCCACAGACCGTGCCACCCGATTATGCTATCGACTCAAGCCTGCCGCTAAGGACAGCATAACTGTCTATCCAAACCAGTAGACCATTTCCATCAGATTAATTTACTGCGATACAGTGCACCACTTCGACTACCCTGTAACTCATTTTTGCTCTTGAAATCCGTACCAGCCAACAAAGGCACGAAAAGGCATCACAACGAATCAGACAGCTATTAGATGCTTGAAAGATCTCATTGCTCCGCAACTGCCCGTCTGCTCCAGATAAGTAAGGCCCAGCAGTCGAAGACGTCGTCAGCTCTGCTGCCGCAAGGTTTCCACGACACTGAAAAATGAGGCCTACTTTTGGCGGTTACCTGACACCCACATTTACGATCCCACCACTCAGTGCCATAATCTCAGGGCAATGCAGTTTAAGTAAGGTGACTCCCAGTGTGACCGTGGTTTATGAAGCTCGGAAGACACATCATGGCCACTTCCACTGCAGCTCTTGGTTTCCGTTAATTTCTACGCATTTGAGCTGACTGGAAAAGGCAACATAGTCCGTATAGCGCCCCGCTAGTAATTCTGACTGAGAACACGCACACATCATATATTTGCTTACTGTCGGCCTGTCAACTCAGCAACACCCTCTTAACAAAAAGCACGTCACTGTCAGCTCAGGGAAAGTTAGAATATGCCACCAGCGATTCCACTGGAAAACGTGACCCCCGCTTGTCGATCCTGTCTTTCGCTAAAGTTGAGTTGTAAGCTACTTTTGAATTTAATTCCGCACTGTGTCATTCTTTTTTATCTCACTAAAGATGTGCTCAATAATCAAATGGGGAGAGACGTCAGGACCCTACAGATATAAATGTGTCTTTGTTGCAATCAGAAAAGCGCCTGTTTCAATTGCACTGCCTTTCCGCTGGGATGCCACTGCCTCATTTAGCATCAACTGAAACACCTTCAAAGATATCTATGAGCGTCCTTTCCACACAAACATCACCATCGGAAACACACTACAACCAGTCTGAATGTCCTTATTAAGCAATCTACTACACTATTCGACCTTTAATGCATGCATCCTGTTCCGCTTAAGAAATTTCTTAATGAAAAGCCTGTGATGTTTACTTTCAAAATCGCTTGGAGTGCTGTCTCTGCAAAAGATTTGACCCCGTAATTTCGGAACATGCTTCTTCACAGAAACGTAACGTTTTTGGCAGGGAGAAAATGACAGCTGATGATTTCCGCGTAGTCTCAACCGCTGCCCCGGATCAAATCAACCACGTTGCTATAGACAGTGCTCAGCGAACAAGAGCGGATTTCTAATCGTTCCTGACAACTATTTGCCTTGCGTGATCATGTAACCATAGCGAGTTTTTGTGGTGCCATCGCCTGTGACCTTTTTGCCGGCCTACTTCAGCCAAGGGGTTCCCTGCGTTGTCGAAGATAATATAAAACACCGACCTCGGAATCACACCCAGCCTGGTCGAATCTTGGTATATACAACCCAGCATGCAGAAGCCACACTATAAGATGCAACTTCCGCTCGGCTCGCTGATAGGTCAGGCCTTAACACCAACCAGTGGCGCACGTGAATTTGACATTTGGGAACGTGTTTCTTCTGGTTACATTATCCAACTGATTTACTGTTTCATCCCCCCACCCAGATGAGCACGGAGCACTTTAATTCCATTTGTGTGAAGTCTACAGATTTACCTTATGCTTCGACCTCACATCCGACGGTTGACGGACTTCAGTCCTTTCACTTTCCCAGCTTTAATCAGGCCATTGTTCATGTACTCCTACTCAAGCACGCGCCATCCTCTTACCCTCGGCCCATGCATACCGGCGAATCTCCCTTGTTCCGAATTAACCGCACATTTTGCACGTAACGCCGCTGATGTAATAACGCTTTCTTTGTTCTGGCTCTTTTCCGCCACCTCTCAGTTTTTGTAAACGGGTGGTTCTGCTAAACTCTTAATGTGATTTCCAGTGTCTGTTAACTGTCTTGAGGACCTGTGGTAGGGAGACTACCATTGCGCGATCCTCAATGGTTGCAAGAGATGTGTGCAACACAGGAGGTGAATAGCAGATGCTTCCACTTCTTCAACCTACTTGGCCCATAAGCTTCCACATAACCGATAGTCTTGCATTGTCATGTACGAGTGCTGGTCACCTCATCGGTGCCAAACCTTGTTGATTGTACTGAATGTGTCGAATACCGAGTTTCCTGGAGCTAACTAGTGGACAAACGCTCACTAGTGCAAAGTACCTCTCAATCGTCCGCATCGTAACCGTCCAGCAACACTCACTAATCGCTCTGGGCTCATATATAAGTTAAGTTCGGCCATATCAATGATATTCCGTTTGTTTTAATTGTTTAAAAGAGTTATTCACAGGGTTCCTCAGTTTGTCGGACTTTCGAGTGATGGATGACGCAAAATTTGTCAAAAGGTTGAATATATTTACGTCGTTAAACCCTCGACTTGTAGAAGAATCCGTGGAGGCTCACTTGATGTCCATCCCACTGAAAAAGCATTGGTAGTCCATTATGAGACTGAGGCAACTCGTAGTTGGGGACAGAAAAGAAAGCCAAAAGATGTACGTCTGTTCAAGCCATTTTAATCAACGCAGAATTCGAGTGCGAAATCTCAACGAACAAACAGATATTCCGGAGCTTGCAAGGAAAATTGTCGACAACTGTAAGCTGATTCACGAGACAAAATTGCCGCAGGTTGAACACCTGCTTAAATATCTGCTAAACAGAAAGGACACGGGAGTACAGAAAAGTGAGTCATTTGATTACTATCGAGTTACCCAGATTTTTTAAATTAGTTTTTGCCGTTTTATTCGGAAATTTGTATGCGTACGATAGTAAATCATTTATCTATACCCAGATACATTTTGCTCGCGATGAACGTTGCTTGCAGCGGACATGTCCGTCGTCACAGAATAAGCAATCCGATCTATGCAACATATGGTGTGGCACGGCGCCTTCGACGTATCGTTAGAGGTGAACAATAGCACTGAACATAAACATACGAAAAATTGTTGGATGAAAAATGACAAACTGAACCTCCGAGGGTGATGGTGAAGCCATCGCACAGCAAAGCCGACCGAACGCAAGAAGCGATTGGAAACAGCGAACCATTAGCGTCCTCGGGAGCCAAGCCTATCAAGAAGCTTAATTCAGTGAATAAAAATGTCATGATCTGAGCAGGATGTTATCAAGCTGGTAGATAGATATGGCTGCGTTGACCGTATCCTCAGAAGTTGATGAAACACAATCCAGATATTCAACCATGGCACACGTCCAGGAAAATAGTAGCCCTTCCGCCCATGCAGTAAGTGTAATTGTCTCAACTACAAGTTGAATGGTCTCCGTTGCTAAAGAATAGGGTTTAATTGCAGAGGGCAATCAAACATGTGTGACCTCCGCGGCCACCGTCAGGCTGCTTTGTAAGGAGGTAACAGGTCTCAGAAATTTTCTATTCTCTATGGCACTCCCCTAATTCGCCAAAATCGGCGTTCTTTTAGGAATGCTGAGAGAACAGGAGATGGAGCTGAAAGAAACTATTGTACTGCTGCGCCCAGACAAACAGAAAATCACTGATTAGGTGTCGTCCTGATAAGAGAAGAACGACATTGTAGATTGTCGAGGGTTACGGGGGTGATTCTTCTACTTCTGTTCCGACAAATGCTGATCCCTTGTCCAGTCGCCTGCAGTGGACGGATTATGTGTGGCTTGACGCTGGTCGTTATCTGTTTCAACAACCTTGTAAATAAGCGGAGTGAGTTACAAGCATGGGTAGTTGGCCATCAGGTACATCTTGTCGCCTTCATAGAGGCATAAAAAGTGCTAGGCGCAGAACTTAAATGTTAGCCCACAGGTGTGACCGCGCTTGCAATGGCCACTTATTTGTTGCTAGGGTCGTTTTAAACTGCCCGAATCTGCTGAAACCGAATTCCGTGTACAGAGCTGAGTAGATTATTATATATGAATTTCTCCCTTGGTGAAAACCATGGGATCTAAGTTCACCCTTGTCTTAGTATACGGGAGTCCAGTCGGTATGTCCCAAGACTCGAGGTAGAACAAAGTGCGGTGCTTTTCAGCGTTATTAGGTTCCACGAATTCAGATATGTAAACAAATGGCGTCGTATGAGTTTATATTTACATGGAAAACACCTGAACTTACTCATATAGTCATGAGTAGAAGTTTGTGGATCGCAAACCTATGAACGATTTGTGCCCCTTGGTGTAAAATAATGGCGTGTAACGAGTGCAAATTGACATCATTAAAGTCTTTGGCCGGATAAATCGCATAACTGCATGTGCTTTATCAAGCAGGAAAAAGTTGGAATCTTTTGTTGGACGATGGAGTTGGTAAGTGTGGTTGAAGAACGTCTTCCCGAAACTGAGGCAAAGCATTGTTTTGCGTCATATGATATTGCACTTAGACCAAGAATGCTTACGGCAGTTGCAAATTCCTAAGGAGACCACGTGTGCCCCAGCTATCTATTATTTGTGTGCGGCCAAAAGATGTAGAAATAAGTGGGCTCAATGAATGGAATGAAACCAAGGGGCAATTTCAAACTGTTGTCAAAATGGTTTTCGGGACATGTCTACTAGTAGCAGACCATTAATTATAAGTGACCGAAATGTGATATTGTAAGGAAATGTGATCGTTCTAGTCGCACAAAAGTATAAATTGGCTTATATAGCGTCATTGTAAATCCCAAATTCACCAAAAGATTTCTGTGATGCTTGTGTACAATGTAATATTGGAGTTCGGAATATTCAAGGATGCGTCTTAACCTCACGAAGATGGAAAAGATGGCCTGTCAGGGGAACTATGATCTGCAACTCGTCAGATACTGCGGCGAAATCCATGTTCGCAGGGTTGCGGTCAGCAGTAATTCTACAGGCAGGGGAGTGAATGCCGCATACCGATATTTATTTAACATGGTTGAGAATAAATTCGGACAGAATTGAAGGATAGCTTATTGCCAGATAACAACTAGACGCAAGTGACGGCAGTCTCATAGGTCATTATACGGCTTTTCATATGAATGTCCTTAGAGATAAGATGTCTAAAAATAATGATATAACGCAAAAGAGATGCCTCAATATTTAAAGAGATAGTTGAACGTTCCAACAAAAACTAACAACCCCAGTTCATAGGGCAGTAAATCACTATCCCCTTTGTTTTGTAAAAATGGGTATCATCAAATGAGCTGACGTTGCCCTGCACAGCTATCACAGTAGCCTAAATGGTGCATTAGAGGTGGTAGAAATCCACAGCTAAAAAAGGCTGTTGCTCCAGATTTATTTGCAAAGTAACACTTGCCTCGTCCAGTTTTGATATTTTTACGGTAATCAGCTAGTACTCGTTTTCCTTCGTGCAAGATTTGCTCCAGCGTAGGTAAACACTGATACCTTTTTCCTTGCATAATCTTAGGAGACAAAATCAGTTTGTGTCCGTGACCCGTAAATTCCCGCAGGGTTTGGTATCTGTTCTAGTGTGGCTTCCAATTTACCTCCGTTTTTTTTTGCGCATTTAGTCAATAAGCTTACCTCTGAGGTTTTGTCCGCACTTGGCGCATATGCACTATTGTAACATATCTATCCCATTACTACCGAGGGCGGTTGACGTCCACCGCTTATTTTACCTCCGAAATCCTTTTTCGTAAGTCCCTCTCAAGCACCAAGAAGACCTAGCGGAATTCACCCTGTGCTTTTGTTTTACGGGTGAAGATTTAAAGATTGTTCTAAGTGAGTTCTTTAAGACAACACGTAGCCGCAACTAATGATATGGGACACCTCATCCTTCAGATGTCTGTTTTTATTTCGTTCGCTGAGCTAGCCATCATAATCCCCGACTTCGATGCCGGAGTTTTGTATGTTTTCACTACAACCCCGGATTAAGTATGTCTTTTTCTTCATTACTACCGCCTTTCTCTACCTTTTTACAACTGAATACGTTTTGTGGACAGTCGTTAAATTAAGCTGGTGCACCAGTAAATATGATGCACACTGTGGACAGCAGTAAACCTGAGACAGCCTCCGCGGTACCCTTACAGTAGCACGCCACTGACAAGCAATTGCCAAACAGTTGTTTGGCTCGCAAAGTATCACTCTTATACAAAGCTACAATGATCGCTGAGTCGGTGTATATTTTTGAGAGACATGGCCTCTAATATGACGCAATGTGGGGCAACGTCAGGTTTTCTACTATTAATATCTCGAAACCACTGCTGGTATCGGATGGCGTCAGCAAATCCGAAACAAAGTAATTGGCATACATATAGTTGTTTGTGCAGCAATCAATCGCAAAAAGCATCCAGACAATCGTTTGTGTGCACTCGGCTGTGTGCCACACATGAGCGTCCCCATCAAAATGGTGCAAAGCGCGAGATGGGAGAGTGATCTAGACGACGGTGTGAAGGTTGAGATGTCATTTCTGTAGTTTCCTTCCAGAATAAGCATAGCAATCCTAAGGACCTTCTCTCGGCCACTATTTTTCACTTAATGAATTTAAACCAAATTAGATAAACGTAAGTAGTTGCACGGCAATCAAGGTTTAGTGGCAACAATGATGCTACTGCATTTGAAATTGTCATTTTCTGTAGGAGTTCTCGCAATGCTATCGCCTGATCTACATTAGAAAAGCAAATATATTGCGTTGGTTCTCTTTCGGTGTTCCTTGGTCTTTCCCCTTGCTTCCTGCGTTGTTGACGGCTTTGCCTTGCAGCATCAACCGTCAATAAATCTATGTTTAGCCTGCTTGAGCGTGTTTTGGGAATAGTTACATCCCAGAAATTGATGTATTAAGAGCCAAAGACGTTAGAACAACGGGCCACTTTGTCCTTTCCAAACAAACTGGCGAATCCTTTACTCTAATGTCTGGAATACGGTCACATCAAATGAGTATATTGATAAAACAAAAAAAATTTGATAGCCTTTTAGGCATTTTGCAACCAGCTTGTATGATTTAGAATATTCGATGGCATCTGGTCAAACCAAAAGCAGAACTTTTGGTGCAACTAATCGTAAGTAAAGCATGCAGTCGTTATTGAACTTGCCTTCTTCTGAGCCCTTGTTTTGCAACCCAGAAGTGATGGAACTCCATCTGTAGTTTTTCGCAAAGTGCTCCACACACATCGATATGTGGGTGTTTGCAAGTGAAATGGACCTGTCAGACCCAACTAGCACTGGCAACTCTTCTTGCGTTATTCTTTCTTGATTTACCCAGGTGTGTGCTTTCCACGGGAGGTGATGTACTTGGCTTTTACTTTCGCTCTCACATACTAGCCATCTGCACCTTTTCTGATAATTTCGTAGCAGTTTACTTGTCATAAACACGCTGGTTTTCTTAATTTTCAAAACATATCAAGGCTTCGGGTTTATTTCTTCCACGTCTTGAGTTTTCTGGCGTCTAGATAAGTATGCACACTGTTGTCTTTTTATTTTTTAGCCTCATGTTAGTGGCGTAGTGTTCTAACGTTTTTAGATCAACATTTCCCTTGTGATTCTTAGATGGTCTACGATATAGAACACTTGCTTAGTGGCTCCATGACATCTCACAAGACACTGAACGTGCAGCGCTTGACGTGTTGCGTATCTTTTAACTTAATTTAGTGATTACTATGTCAGAGTCATTTTTTCAAGCTCTCGTTCATTGTACTAGCATCCACTGGCCGTAGAAAGCTTGCAATAACCAGATCTACTGTAGTAGGATCCCTCAAGCTGGATGTTTTTTTGTATTGAGGTGACATACTGAGCAAACTGAAGAAGGTCAGGTACTGGAGAACCTGTGCTTCTTGCAATGGTGCAGAGCCTCACTGACTGTAAATGAACTCGGTTTAGCTTAGCTTATTGTTTCATCATTTGGATTCCGTTGGGTGTATGTTACTTGGAATAAAAGCATACTTGGTCAAAAGTATATAGACGGACCCTTCCGGTATAGCATTCAATCATTATGAGACTGAATTTTTGTCACTCATGGGTTGTTTCAATAGGTTTCAATATATCACTTACGAGGCAGTGAGTTACTTCGCTGCAAGACGCTCCGATGATCCGACAGTGATCTCTGTGACGTATATATTCCCCGACAGCCATCTTTCCGCACAAAGTATGTTAAAAAGACCATTAAACGTAATCTCTTTCGGCACATGTTTTCCTTCAGTGTGTAGCACCTTACTTCAATGTTCACTATTCCTTTATGCTCTTCTTGGGCCTTAGAATGAAGAAATTGGTTTCGTCGAACGATTTACAAACCCTGATAGCTGTATAAGCCACAGTTTTACTGTAACATCTGAAGTGTTTTAGCGTATAATCAAGGCGCAATCAGCGTTTTCAAAATTTATCATTTGTGACATTAGGAACAAATTTTGCGGCAGCTAAAGCTCCGTGTATACAGAGCCAATGCAAGAGCGGTCTTCGTTTGAGACTAAAAATGGTCCGTCCGATCCGAGGACATAGGGTGTATTCAAGTGTCTGATTGCTGGTGTCTACCTAGTACAGCAAGTGTTAGTTGGTTGCAGCGAGTCCTTAACGAGATTATGTGTAGACGGGTATTAATGATGAATCCGACTTCTTAGAGAAGCATATTAACGCTGACAAAATGAGGTACGACAAACCACCTCCTATCACGAAAGCATTATCTTCCGTTTAGAGCGATTGTTGGCGGACTTATTACGGGGAACAGGCCGTGAAATGACAAAGTTAAATGAGAGCGGCTACTGTCAAAATGCTTGCTATAAGATTTAATCGCCTGGCTGGCTGGTTTCCATGTAATCTTGCATGTGGATGGTCTGAAGCTCTGCAGGATATGGCATCCAACCGACTCCAGTAGCGCCTATACTCTGATTTTCCAGCTGGACTGCTTAGCTAGGGCTGGACTTTTGTTGTGCGCTGGAAGTAGGTCAAATGAGGTTGGCAAATGATGCCCGCTTGATCCTGCTTATGGCGCATTACTCCGACCTGACGCTCAAGTGAGCTTACTTTTGCGTTGTCCAAAGGTGTACTCACTTATCGTTGACAATTATTATTATCGGCAAACGGTTTCTTCGCCGCAACGCCGCGTCGTTTTGTCTTCTTCCCATTTTCCACCAAAATTTTCTTCCTTCGCGGTTTAATAACGTTTGAACATCCATATATTTCGCTGGTTCATTGCCGTCAGTGTTAATGTTGATGACTATCCTTGCTTCATTGCTCATTTTCATTCTATTCCCAACTTATGGATCAACAGTGAGTGTAATCACTATCGTTCCTCCAAGCTCACATAGTTCCGTTGCTTGTTTTGCGCTTGTGTAATTATTGGTTGTCGTATCAGTAAGTACCCAGAACCTCACCAGGAGCAAACATAGTCTTTTGGTTCCCCCAGTTCCTTAGTTATATAAAGGCGGCCTTGAGCTTTAAAGGATTTAAATTTGGTCAGGCCTCTGAGATGTCAGCTCCTTAAGAGTATATGTTGAGTACACCTGTCAATTAGTCATAAGCTCCAACGGCCTTGAATTTTCGCGGGTTGGTTTAAACCACTTTTGAATGTTTTCGCGATATTCATGGAGTGGCCCGTACTGAATATCAGGCTCGTCAGGATATTTGTTACCTTTGGCTCGTCGTCCCTTAGTATCACGAACGGAGCTGACACCACTACCTCTGGTATGTCGTTTAACATCAAATAATTGCCCCACTTTGCACCTGAGTATGGTTCGTGAGTGCTTGACCACACAGTACTGATATGAAGAATGTAGAGGGACCTTGTTTCCGGTTATTTGAATTTCACTGTGTTGTTTTACCGGACAGATTTTTCCGAGCCCCATTCAGCTTTGCGCGTTCTGGCCGTGAGCCACCCTTCATTTTTTGCTTAGGCTTCGTCGTGTCTTTAGTGAGCCTACACCTGCAGAATTTTCAGTTCTACCCAGTATAACCGCATTTTCGTTGTGATGTTCTTGTTGGTTCCTTTAATATTATTGGCTTTGAATTTGACGCAGCCACAACAGGTATGCCATCAGTGCTTCTTTATTCCTTCCTCTCATTTGGTGTAGGTTAAACACTTAATATGGCTCAATAAAAACGCATAATAATGTGATCGGAATGCAAAACAGGATTAATCAGACGGATCCTGTTTAAGAACAACCAGACGAATTCATTTTCCACCACATACCCACGTTCGAGCTGGAATATTTACAACCAGAAGAATTTTGGCTTGTACAGCGTTCCTAATTCGCACTTAATGGCTAGGGTCCCGCACCTTATATTCATCATGAGTATGTTCTCGTATGTTACATCCATCCTAATTTGTATTCCTTAGCATCAAAACCTTCCACCCTAGCAGATCTATCTGGATGATACTTGGCGTCAATGAGCTTACCCGTCGCAACCGCGTCCCTTTCTCTATAATGAGTGGGATCGTACCGATACGCACGCATTTGGCTCATCGATGCATCATGTATTAACAATTTCCAAGCAGTGGTATAGGCAGGAAGCCAGCATGTCATTGTCAGAGTGACTAATGAATAAATTAACGAACACGGTCTGTCAAACTAATCAATCATTTTGGACAATTATTAGGCATGCACAAAGCCTTCTAAGTGGTTTCGTCTCAGAGTTTGTTAACATTTTACTATCACAAGTCACTGTTTTTAAACTTTCTGCTTATGTGCGTGATATCAACGCTCATCCGTATATTTTCTAGTCCACTCAGGACTCAATAGTGAGAAGCTTGCGGATCCGGGTGCATTTGACTCTACAGAGATAAACGAAGTGGCACATCTGACCGACCTTGATGAATATCTGGAGTTACTTTACGAAGATATTCCTGATAAACTTCGGGCCTCGGCCTTGGTTCTTCAGCTTGCTCGCAATCCAGACAACCTCGAAGAGCTTTTTCAGAATGGTCAGTCACTTTTTTAACTTATTTGGCAAATGAAACCTTATGCCAGTGCACATTAGCTGGAGCCACAGTAATTACAAGAACTTTCTAAGACCAGATAGTCTAGTGTTTGCTTTTCCCGCTGCGTAGTAAAACTTGCCGACGGAGAACAATTTCAACCAAGTCGGCACATCTGAGATCATATGAGATGCACTTGGCAGCTCTACTCAAAACTAGTATCAATTCTGTGGATCAGTTTCTAAGATTTATGCAAGACCAATTCGTCGTAAAAAAGGAGAATCAATGCGAGAAGCACATTCAGAACAGCTCAAAATGTTATCAGATTGCAATGTGATTTAGAGTATTTTGGTTTGCTGATGTGCGTTTATAACGCAGGTAGTGATATTTTCGAAACATTGCGATCAAAATTCATGTCGCTGACTCCTAGGCCACCAGCTCAATGTTGTCACACAGTGTAAGGAATCTTTGATGCCTTTGAACATCAAACAGGTTTTTTTCTGTACACTTATTTTCTTGCATTATTGTCATTCAGCACCCAGAACATGCTTTCTTTTATCCCGCAAACCACATGGATCCGCCTCCACCCCCACCATGTCCGGGCAAGACTAGTTTTTCGATTTATCATTTATTTACGTTTTACTTGCTTCACCTTTATCATCATTTCACGCCCTCACACAAAACTCCAAGTTACAACATACACATTCTTTTAGTGTGGTCAGAATGTGGGAAGATTTGGTTGACCAAATGAACGGATTTTCACCTGCAAGGTTTCTGGGTGCAGCTGACGGTGTAGGCAAGAAAAAAACCGGTATGGATGTGAATGTACAAGAGAATGACAGAGAATTAAAGACCGTGTTGTAAAATTTTATTCGAACGGCTAAACTTCTCTTTTTTGCTTCCTACGTTTTGTCTAACGTAAATCTAGCCTCATACCAATTGAATGAGCCAACAGTATTCCGTAAACAAAACAAGCAGCGTATCGCTGCAAATGTTTCGTCAAGAAAACGTGGCAATGTGTAGTATTTTCGGTATCAAGTGTATCACTGTTTTGGATGTTTGCCTTCATCATAACATGAAACTTCCACCTTCACCTCCCATCACGTTTCGAGAAAGATAACTGGCGAATTGCAGCCCATCTGACCCACGTAATCCGATTGAATTTTCATTCTTACTCTCAGGTGAAAAAGTTTTAAGTTACTTTATGTAGATAAACAAAAGCTGTATTGTACTATTGATGACAAAAGTGTAAGCAGCGGAGCTGGCTCTATTAGTATACGCCCAATAAGTCCCAAATCAGGGGAAAGGTTTTATCTGACCAGGTATCATTGAGGCCCGTCTGTATTTTACCCAAATGATGCTAGTATAGAAGCCTGAACTAAACAACACAATCTCCACTTTCACTATAGAAACACTGGTGGGCGCACTGGCACGCGTTCTTCGGGAGGATTGGAAAAAGAGTACAGACTTGGCTACTAACATCACATATATCTTTTTCTGCTTCTCTTCGTTCTCCAATTTTCATGGAGTGATCCTACATTTTAAAATTGGTAAGTTGCATTCATTTTGGTGAAACTAATACAGAAAGTCTGGAAGAAGAACAGCACTGAATGGCTGATATTATTGCTATGAAAAACAAGCAGGTATTCAGATGTTCGCATGGGGTGACAGGTAGTTACCGATGAAGTATTGGAGCCAACTAAGCCCGAGTTAAACTTCAGTACACCACAGGTTAGTTTTCAAGAGCAGACATTTGCTTGCCCGAAAGATTTTAAAGGGTTTGGAATGACATATAATCAGATTAGCAAGTTCAAATATTGCAATTAGTTGTTTACTGATCTCATAACAATCCAGACTAACTATTTACCCGCTAAGCGGATTATCTGTACGTAATGTACGTCTCGCAGAGACATTCAGGTTTTTTTCAGTGTGAAGAACCTCCCTCTATTACGAACATGTCTTGCTTACTTCTGTTTACAAACGTTTAGCTCGACTGCCACCGTCACTGCTAAACTTTATCTCACTCATCGAGGGAGCCCTAAGGAACCTAATTTTACCTCTTTACAAATATGGGTCTCCAAGCACAACCATTTTTTATAATTTTTTCCAGGCTTGTAACCGGTTAGGAACATGGAGTAGGAAGGCCTAGATAAGGTGCCAGTATATGAATCTGAGTTATTAGTATGAAGACAAGGCGGCCTGGTAGTTCATTTCATTTTTTATCGGGCGTTACACCGGGACAAACAGACATGATACATAAAAGAATGTGGCTGAATTTAAACGGTAATCAACTTGAATTATCGTGACAGTAGACTGAATCTACAGTGTACTAAGCAGACAAGCTTACAAGATCCCGGTCAGATTACATCGATGAATTTTAAAGCTAACCTCGACACATATTTGATCTTCAAGTATTTTCGGCAGCTAGTTATTAAACTTGCTCTAGTTTCAGCGAGCAGCAATCATTCGCACTGCAATTTGCTTTCAACGGGAGTGTTAATTTATCTCGGCTGAATCACCCAGAAATAAATAAATAAATACGTGACTCTCGCTTTAGGTTCTGATCTTCAACTTTTCACCGAATAGACAAAACTGTGAGCTGAGACGTAGCAGAAAATTTCTGTAATTGGCATAATTTAAACTACCGTTGCATTAATTCCACCAATCCATCCACAATACCTAATTATTGAAACACAACAATGTGTCCACTCAGTACATAGTGCAACAACCTGGACCGAAGGTTATTCTCTGAGGGATGTTTTTGGGAGCCTCTACTCGATGTAGTGTTCTGGACGCCTACTCTACACTTGTTTAAGGTTACATCCACTTTCGTCCCGGTTTAATGCGACTGGGGCATGCGCACGCAACACCTGATAACAAAGCTCAGTGTTCTAGGTTGGGGTAGCAGAGGTTGATGCACTATTGGATTACCCGTGGACGGACCGATGATAGCAGTTCGATTGATGACGGACAAATTGCTCCGGTCAGAGATCAGCTCGACTAATAACAGTAGGCTGACCAAACAAATGACCAAATTTCACTGCTGTTTACTTCGAGCCTGTTTTACTCACGTGATTTGAATCATGCATTATGAAAGACGTAATTGTCTTGGATGTACAAACCTGTAACAACAGACATCTCAGCGTGATCACCAGTATTTTCGGTTGAACGATGAGATTCCCCCTTTTAAGGCGCTATGCACCCTACGTAACAGAACTCACTTATTGCCTATGCGATCGCCTTTTTTAAGAAAATGGTGATTGTTTTCACACACACACTTCGCCTAACACAATTTACAGGGGCATTGACTATGTCGATTATTGAACACGAACTATGCAAATATGACTTGTGGATGGAAGAACTCCGGTGCAAAAAACAAGTACTTCAGGAAGCGACTGACGATGCGGACTCATCCTGTCGAGCAAGCGCTCAAAGCTCGTATGAGTCTACTCTGTCCAAGTTCAATGTTTTAGTTAGAAAACAAGAACAGCTTTTTCGAGGTGGGTTAACTACATTTTATGTTGTTTCTGTTGAAAAAATCTTCCCGCACTGCCCAAAATATTCGCTTTTCGTTTCTCTTGTTTCAAATTTAACAAAAGGCACAAAATTTATCCATTCTCTTCAGTTTTTCAAAGAATTGCCATTATTCAGCAAAGAATCGAGCAAAAGAGCCTATTTCATTCACTTGTTGCGTTGTACTGTCGATAAAACCACTGCTTGCTACTCGGTCATATCAACTTCATGCGGAGAACAGTAAAATCTTGTCCCTCTAGGTTGGACTTAAAATGCGTATTGACACGGAACACGGACCTCGCCGCAAATTGGATTTCATTTTTTGAAGAAAAGCTCTATCACTTAGGAAAAATAATTGAGACAAAATGACAATTTGAAGCTTCCTTGGACTGTGGTTCTTGTTGATCAGCTGGCGGTTTCATTAGTCAGTCTCGCAAATACCAACTGAAGGGAACGTTTACGTTCCGCATATATGGATCTTAGCAAACAATTCTAACGACAATTGGCAGCGGTCTAGTAAACAGGTTACCAGCATCGAAGGACTGGCTAGTTCTCATACGCTCATCTAAAAAGAGACAATAGCATGAAAAAGTATAGTCTTGCTAAGTTATTCGACGACCAATTACGTGAGTGCTACCATAGGGGTCTTCTAAAAAAACTTTCTCATTAGTGGGAAACAGAAGGTGCTATTTGCCCAGCAATTAGTTTATGGAGTTTGATAACAAGTAGTTAAAAAAAACGAGTTATTTGAAACCAACTAATATGTATTCTGTGAACCTCCAACTATTTCATTTGATATGTATCCAAACCGAATACCTTCCAGAACACACATCGATCGCTTACTAAAACTCGACGTAGTTTTATCACATCCGAAAATTTCAGCCGACATTTGGGTTCCAAACCGTAGTCTCCCGTACGTTCTGTGGGTTTAGGTACTCCTTCTTCACATACGTTTGTCTCCTATCCTCCCAGTATGATCTCAACATTCCTTTAGCTCCGGCTATTTTCCCACAAACATGGGCAGGTGTAAAAACACAACGACCGAAAAACAAGTTTATCAAAAGAAAGAGCATGCGGACATGTACTTTGTTGCATCGGGGTAGTTAACAGGTTTTGCAGAACCGTACACATTATCTGAATGGCCGCCTAATTTTTATTTTCAGTTTAACTTTTCTCCCACTTTGTTAACATAAATTTGCACTACTTATGACCATTGTCAGCAACTGTCAGTCGTGTACATGTTGTGCAATGATTCTGACTTCCACAGTTTCGTTCACTGACGAAGAGGATGAGGAAAATGGATAGCCAGACAGCAAAGCCAGAAAGCCTCAGGAAGCCGGACTTTTCACTCAAGAGACTCGACGAGGTAAACTTAGGTGCTGAGCACGTAATCTGGCGAGCCACCGGGTTATGTTTACTAATGCCCAGTTTCTCCAATCACTGATAAGTCTGGTCTTGCGGTCACCATCCAAAACACTAGTAGCGACTAATGCAGCTGGGTCAGTTACACTTTGACGCAAAATCTTCTGGCCCGTCTTAACCCTACACATCGTTTTGCGCAGACAAGTCCTTGAGAAGTTTTTGAAAGACTGACGTGCGAAACATGTGACCAAGCCATATCATCAGCCTACACATAGTCTGCAAGTATTCCCCTTATCATCACCGAAAACGATGAAGTATAATTCAGTGTTGGTGTTCCAATGTTCCCACAAGGTCCTGACAATGCTTCGAAGACGCCAGTTGTCCTACATCAAAAGATTTTGGAATGCTTAGCTGAAAGACAACTGGTTTCTAACTCATATAACAATATGGACTGCACTTCAGAGCTGTATATTTGCCTAATAGCAGACAAACTACCGCCATCATCGACAGGCAGATTGCAATATCTTTTCAAAAAGTGTACTAGAAAGTGTTTCATTAACTCAACTCTCGGAAACTCCTGGTTTACTCTGCTTAAATGAGAACTGTTCGCACTGATTTTATTCTTTTTGCATTCAGTTGCCTTCTACATGCTGTTGAATATCAGTGAAGACCTGAGTGTTGAAGTAAAGATGCACAACAAGGGAATGGTTTCGATGCTTTGCCGCTGTCTGGATCGAGAAAATTTCGAATTACTCATTTTGGTCGTATCATTCCTAAAGAAGCTCTCCATATTCAGTGAAAATAAAGATGACATGGTGAGTTCCAGTTGTCTTTTCGAAGCAGTGAAGGAGTTGTATTGAGGTTTACGTAGCGTCTCATAGATATTACAAATTATCCCAGGATTCGTTTATCTGATACCCTAGGCTAATCAGGGGGTTACAGATTTACGCAGCTATTTCAGTTAATCTTCTGCGCGGCAAGGAACTGAGCTAGATAACCCATATTTTTGCAATCGCGTCAGCCGAGTACTTGCTAAGTATTTGGTTTGACGTTACTAAGCCGCGTCCGACCTCTTGCTGGCCGGATTTCTAGAATACAAACTGACGCTTTTCAGCTTGTCATTATGTAAGTGTGCCACAAGTAACATCTTCACACGACCGGGACCATTCAAAGGCTTCGGCAACGCATAGTGGTTAGGAACTGATATTGTATAACTTACTTCACAAAATCAACTGCAAATTAGCTTTCAATTGTTGGGTTTTGCGGAACAGGTATTTTGGTTGTGGTCACGCCACTCTGGATTGAGCGGTCGTCCTCGTGTTCTGGAGGTGATTCCACACCAAAGGGAAGCACTGGACTCGAGTTTCGCTCTTATTAGAGCTCATCAGTAGTGCATATCCAATGGCCGTGCTGGGATTTGAACCCCGTACATCTGACATACGAGGCGAGCGTGTAACCACTACTCCACCAACGCACGTTGGACGCATCTGAATTACCACGTCTAAACAGGCGAACGTATTCACACTAGATCGATGTGATTGGTGTGCCCGACCAATCGAGCGACGACCCAGTAACTGTCCTGGTTTTGACGATCGATTGACCCGCCAGTCAGAACCTCCCAGTCAGGTAGCGTGACATACTTTTGAAACCCACTGGGCAAGTTTCGGTTGCAATTTTCGGGGTTTCGCGGGATACACGTTACACGCTCGCCTCGCATGCCGGATGTCCGGGGTTCTAATCCCGGCACGGCCATTGGATATGCGCTGCTGATGAGGTCTAATAAGAGCGAAACTCGAGTCCAGTGCTTTACTCTGGCGTGGACTCGCCTGAATAATTACGCCAGAACAGGAACACGACCATTCAAACGAGTGATGTGGCTGCGAACAAAAAAAAATGAACTGCTGGCTCTGTAAAAACCATAGGTTTGGTTCCATTTTGGGTTGAAAGTAATTGAAGCGAAGAATCTCAGTTGCGCTTTGGGACGCCTCCAACACATTTTTTTGCTGTGGTGTGAAATTATCTCCCTATAAATGGGCGGTATTTGGAGGAATGTGCCTTGTCAATCCCTCTAGAAAATTAAAAATATAAAATGATTCTGGTACATATTGAATGGTCACTCATGTAACTTTTGTTGCTCAGCTGAAACACGGAATAATTGGACATTCTCCGCGCCTGCTCTCCAGACCGGAAAAGGATCTTGTCAATGTTACCCTTCGTCTATTGTTCAATCTCAGTTTCGACAAAACAGCTCGAATTGAAATGGTTTCCAGTGGACTTGTGACGAGACTTGTTGAACTTCTAGGTGGGTGAAAACTCTTTTGTTCAAAGGTGTCATCTGTTATTCGATTCTATACTATTTTCTTCTAGTTTTTAGTATACAGAAGAAGCAGTAAATATTCGGTATTCGATGCTAGTGCCAATTCTTTTGTGCTGCGCCAAAAATTTGTGAACTATTTTTGCACTTTAGTGTGGTCTGTTAGATGTCCAATTTTCGATGCATCGCCACCCGTTTCGACTTTACAGTTATTGACATAGCATGTTTGGCAAAACGCGTTTAACGATACCAAGACCACATAAACTCTGTTTGTGACCTAGAAAGATGCACCAACCAGTTTTTTTATGTAACCACTGCTTGTACCTAGTCGTCTGTTCTAAATTTACATCCGAATTGACTCACTGTTATTTCCTGCGTTACCTTCTGGTCAGTGTTTGGCGCAACTTGCAGAACTGGCCATCAATCCAAAAGAGTAACGTCAGAAGATTTTTCACCTAAGTAAATGTGGTAACATGCGCCATTACAATTTGTACCCCTTGAGTGAACACCTCCAAAACAGAGCACGCTTTACGATAAACCACTTTTTTGTGTCCCTTGTAGGCTCTAACACATTGTACGTCCTTTCTCGGGGCGATCAGCCGTCGTTATGTTGAACTTTTTACGGATAATTCTGGTTAGTTTTTTCTTCCAGTCATTGGCTACAACCACCAAATTGCTGGAGTTTCAAATTCACATACAACTACTCAACCAGTGGACAAAGGGAACCAGAATCACTTTTCAGTGGCTTCACTAATAGACTGTAAGAAAGGGTGAGAATACTCAACTCCACTGAGCACTTCTATACATTAGTCATTCGTGCGTAGATATACATAGGAAGGATAGGGGAAGCGCCTAAGTCGGTCACGTTCCTAATTCAAACGCAAGCCGAATTATTTAAAATTGTTGATGTCAGTAAATCAAACGTCAGTTCACGAATTTTAGAATCTTCCTTCGCTTGAGCTAAATCATTGTCCGTATTATTTGCATCCATTTTAAGATCAAGCATTTTACTACTGAGGATCTTTACTATACTTCGGATGTTTCATTCACATTGACAGCCGTGTAGTTTTGATAGTTCGAATCACATTCTGTCTTGCATGTCGACCACCAGCAAGCCTTTGAAAGGTATTGATTTTTTAAATTGGTAGTGGTAACCTAATGTATAACCCCTGTGTATTTCACTCTCAGCTGATGAGGACAACCGCTCCGTTGTGTTCTATTTGTTGTACCATCTCAGCATTGAGGATGAATCGAAACCGGCTTTCGCAAGGACAAACTGCTTGGCTACAGTAAGTTATATGGATGTGCTTGTGACAAATACTGAACCTGTAGACGCGCAGGAGTTCTAAGGCATTAATGGAATAACCCGAGCGGTTTCTGTGGTGCGGGATGTGGGTCTACGTGTTTAAATATGCATCCGATATAAATATGCACTATTAAGTTGGGTGGACTTCCACGGGCCTAATTAAGGGCCATCACTGAAAATATTCATGTCTTTATTCTGGAAGCAGTTACTCAAAGATTGCCAAATTCGCAATCTGTGATTATATAAATCTTTTTTGTCAGCGTCCTTAATTGTTCCCGAACCACTGACTGCCTAAGGTTAGTCATTGTTGGTGTTAACGGATGGGTTTGGAATTGGGCGAAATACTAACAATATCGACTTCATCAGGATTGGTGAGGCAACACACTTTTCTAATACACGCTAAAGCCGCTGGTCAATTAGAGTGAGAAATGGCTTCATATCACCTATCTTGTTCACGATTGACTGGTTTTCCCAGGAAATTGTCATAGATCCTCTAATGTTGACCACAACCACGGGAACACGTGAGTTGCTACGCTCAACTCAAAGGTGATTGGGACAAACAACGTTGAAACACACAGATTCGTGAAATTTGCGTAAGACGGGAAGCGACAAAGTAGAGATCGGTTCGGCCCTCTTGGATCGGCCGAAGTGAATCTACTTGGTTACGGAGTAACGACCGATGTGTTCCGATTTACCGCACAGTGGAATGTAGTTTGGTGTACGCAGAAAATCTTACATTTCATCTTATAGCATAGTTTTATCCTTACACGATAATTGTTGCACTAAATTTCAGGTCAGCCAATTAACGGCTGGTTGTAAACATTGGACAGCCAGCAAAGGAACGAATTTCAGGGAAAATCAGTGCATGAAACTCAAGTATTTTGGCAAAGACTTTGACGTTCTAGTGCTAAACTTGCCCTCTCTTTCTGTCTTGAAATGCTGCAAATTTCTTGCTTCCTTGTTCGGTCTTCAAGTTCCCTGAGAGAGCCTTTTTCAGGCGGGCTGCAGACACTTGAAGCAACGTGTGTTTCCGCACTTGTCATTCTGCTTCTCTGACCTAACCTGACTGACCCAGTGAAATGGACTCCACGTTTCCCTGATTTGCGTGCAACCTTCTCATTCGAAATAAACCCTTGCAATATCAGTTGTTGGTCAGGTGGCTGTTGACCTGTTCGCCGAGCTTGACAACTGACTTGCAGGCATCTCGTCACCATACGAGTAGACATCATCAGTGCGCAGTTGGTGTACTTTCTCTTTACCTGTGTGCACTTATATAGCATTTGAAGACCGTCATCTCTTAACGTGATTAGCAAGGTTGGCAGCGTTTTTCGTAAATCTATTGATCCTTTCGTGAACTTTTTTGCGTTGTGTTCCATGATCCTGTGGTCGGTCGGTTATCCCGATGCCTTCTATTTTTACTAGTTCCTTCCTTCACCTTGAGTGACCCTCTTTTCAATTTGCGCTGCGTTGTGGTTTGATTTTCTAGAGATTGGTTGGTTGATCGCACCGCCCTCAACTGACTTCAGGCATCTCGTCACCATACGAGTAGACATCATCAGTGCGCAGTTGGTGTACTTTCTCTTTACCTGTGTGCACTTATATAGCATTTGAAGACCGTCATCTCTTAACGTGATTAGCAAGGTTGGCAGCGTTTTCCGTAAATCTATTGATCCTTTCGTGAACTTTTTTGCGTTGTGTTCCATGATCCTGTGGTCGGTCGGTTATCCCGATGCCTTCTATTTTTACTAGTTCCTTCCTTCACCTTGAGTGACCCTCTTTTCAATTTGCGCTGCGTTGTGGTTTGATTTTCTAGAGATTGGTTGGTTGATCGCACCGCCCTCTATACTGTGGGTGAAGAGGAAGTACCCAATCAACTGTGCATTGATGAGGCCTTCTCGTCTGATGACGACACTTTTGAATGTTAACTGTCCGGTTTCTTTGAACAGACCAACGCCCACATGACCAACGGCCACTTTACTTACCCAGGCTACCAATACTCTGACACATGATATAACTTTACTAAGCGCCAACCAACGGACCAACTATCCTCATGATAACTTTCACAATTAGCCATTGTTTCAGGCCGGAATCTCATGGTTGCTTTCATTATGTGAATCGTATCCAGATAATATTTGATCAAATGTAGTATATTTTCTCCTTAGTTAGCACTTCTCAACTCAGCCTAAATACACGGACTAGCTGCCTTGTATACGATTATCCTTAGAAGTCCATTTTTCAAAGAGAACCAAGAATATTACTGCATTCTACTGGCTTAATAATATAATGCTGTAGGTAATTTGCAATGCAGAGGGTGAAGAAATAACTATACAAATTATTTTGTTGTTAGGATATCACTCACCCCAACGAGATCATGTTCCGTATAACCATATGTGTGACAGTTTGTTTGAACTCCGTGTATAGTACACCTCACTGCACTGAGCCCTTCTGGGAGATGTTCTTGCTTTCATACTACCTAACCCTTCCATAGTACCAGTTTGAACGTTTTTGTAATCAAACTTTTCAACCAATGGCTATTCATTGATTTCCTCCCTTGTGACTCGCGTTTTTAAACTTACCATTCAAACCCACGGAGGTCTGACTTGTGGGATTTGTGATGAAATTATAACCGTCTTTATCTGTGAAATGGCCATTGGTGAGAGGGGCTCAAGTAGAAACTTTGTGTGATCCTTGTTTGCCGACAAACTCCACACTGAAACTTTACCCAGAAAATACATGCTATAATCTATTTGAGGTCAGAAAGCAACAACAGAGGAGGCAACTACTGAAAGAGAACCTTTGAGCGCCTGCTTTAAGGAAGACACAAAACGGTAGTTCGTGATGGGCTTCACTTTAGCTAGCTGAACTACAGTGACTCAGTCAACCCAGTCAGACCAGGGTTTGATTTAAGCCAAGGCCTATTCTTAAATGCATGCAGCCACATCGTTCGTGATTCGGTGAGCACATTAACTCCCATCAGTAGAGACGCGAAAATAATCAAATGAACTACTTCCAATGATTTTTAGTAATGGTCCTTGTGAACTTGCGAAGAAATTGAAAAGTCTGCAACTATAATTTTAACCTCTCACCACGTCCGAGGTTTGAGCACCAAGATTTGTACACACGCTGATATTTTCCGTTTGTCTACTTAATGAGGAAATCCATGGCTGTCTGGTGGGTCCTGAGTGCTGTGAAGACGTTTTGATGCACCTCGGTACATCTAGCGTTTTTTAACCACTCACAGATTATGAAGTTGGCTCTGGGATCGGCAGATCACTTGAGTGAGCCCGTTCCAATGGCACTCGCGGTAAACTTAGCCTGCAATGAACAGTGTGCGAATCGCTTTGCAGAGGGAAAAGGAATCCGTTTATTGATGAAGCGTGCACTCAAAATGCGTGATCCACTACTCATGAAATTTCTCAGGAATATTTCTGAACATGGGGATGAATTAAAAATGAAGTTCGTGGTAAGTGATACCGTTTCCGTTATCTGCAAGTTTTGAACAAATTTTGCGTGGCTCCAGAGGAGCTTTTACTTTAGTGAATAATTTGTACAATTTCTTCCAGGAGTTTGGATACGGTAGCATTTTTCACTTTCAGCCAGACCGGCCACTTCGAAAATTTTGCGCTTCGATTCCGCTGCGCCTGAGGAAGATAAGTTACAGCTGAAGCTGGTTTGAAAACCCTGATCTCTTGTTTCGTAAGTACGTCGATATTCCGTGAATAGCGACACTCTGAGTCTTACTTCGCACCTGACATTTTAGGTTTGAGACCGCAGGTCTGCCGTTTTATGATGCTTCCGTTTGATTAACCTCGTTCCGTGTTGCATCTAAGACTAATAATCCTGGTTGGTAGATAATCTGTAATTAATATTTACTGTAAGTCTACCAGCTGATCCATGCGGTCTTGTTTTGTCTCAGGACCACCTTCCCGAGTTGGTGAAAGTGGTTGTGAATGGAGAGCCATGTAGAACTAAAAAATCTGCGGGGTCGAAAAAAACTGAGGGTTCTGCATCATTGAGAGCCATGAAAGAACGCACTTGCGACAGCCCGACAGACACGCATCGTCAGTCTTCGCGGCCACACTCATTCAGTTCCTGTGCGGGGACACCTACAGTTGGTCTAACGAACGCTGTTCCCACGACTTCATTTGATGATGAGGAGGAGGACTTTGGAGAAGAAAATGAATTCGGTACAAAAGACGAAGATTTTGTTCTTGAATGTTTGGGCTGCCTAGCCAATCTCAGTTTGAGGGATTTGGACTTCAGTCGCATCTTGACCGAATTGGGTCTGCTGCAATGGATCAAACAAAGACTGAGTGTGAAGGAATCCAGTGTTGCAGTTGGCAGCATATCTGGGATTTCCCCGTACGACTGGGACACAGATGACGATGTACTTTTAGAAGTAATAAAACTGACCGGGACGATCTGCCAAGACCCATCCGCAGCTGAAAAATTGAGTCATGCAGAAATTGTGGAGAAGTTGATCAATATATTGAAATGCAAGTTGGTATTTTCTACGGATTTTCCATGCATGACACAAACAGAGTTCTTAATACTGACTATGGATGTAATTTTAGCTGTGGTTTGGCTAGATTTCGTAAACAGCGGATTTCTGTGGTTTACAAACAAGAGGTTAGTAGTCTGCTCAGGTATGAACTCGGCTTTTCTGTGTAATTGACCAGAATCAACCAATCAGGTAGAAAGTCAGTGTTATAAATTTCCCGCTAGCTCAGATAATTCGGATAGGAACTCATGGAATGAGCGTTTGATGTCACCAGAAGAGTCCTGTCGGATTGATCGAGTGGGCTAGAGAGGCTTGTCACATATTTATGTTGTCTGAATCCTTCTGAAAAAGCAAATATTAACCAAAAAGCTTGCTAAAACATTGAACAATGAACCCATAGCCATCAAACTCAGATATACCGAAAATACTGTCGTGGATTGAGGAGATTGACGGGATAGAGCCGCATATCCAGTGATGTTAGCGCTTTGGAGCCCTCAGTTTATATCAGAACGTCTTCCCGTAGGCACACTGCGTGAAACCGAGTTCGTTGCCACTGAGCGATTACACATAAATCTCCGCTTTGGAGCAGGCACCTAAGTTTTTAATAAACAATATATAAACCCCTGAGTTTCTACAGCGAATTCTTTGTTAGGATATTACCCCAAGAGAGATTTCAGGGGGTATTAGTAGGTCTTTGACGGTGTAAGTTTCGCCAGACACACTTGACTAGATACAACAGGAGGGGCCATCTTGATTATGTTACAAGTTGAAAATTAAGAATAAAAGCATCGTTAAGTGTACACGTCAAAACCAGGAATTTGGTTGAATGTGCTTGTAAGTTTGATTTTCAGCTTAACAACGCGGCATATAAAAAGTAGCCTTGAACACCTTTAGGAAAAACAAATGCATCTTACAAGAAAAAACATCGTGATTTAGATACTTTTACTTCCACAGCAGGCTAATCTGATTCGCCTTACAACGGACTAAACTCCTTCCGGATTGCTGAGTTATGTCAGCAGGTAAAATATGGTGTGCCTATAGGTTCAGTGTCTCTATTTTTTCAAATGTACTGCATTAATTGATGTATTGTTTTCAGTTTTCCCTTTTAGGCAGAACGCATACAGCTTCTTAACTAGATACTTGTATATGTGCGCTGTAGATGCACTTCCCATGAATACATAGGCCATATCTTTGCTTCTCCGAAAAAAAGTGTCAGGAAGCCAACTTGACCTTCTAACTAGTTCAGAGGTTGAGGATGCCTCGTGTAGAATGTATGGATAATTTGCCATGGACAAACGATTGAATAATTACTGTATAACCCATTCTTACAAAAGGAACGCACACGGTTATCATGGACTGCTTGAAGAACCTTATTGTTGTACAGTATTCCAACACAGGTGTATGGAAAGGGTCATTCGTTCATATAGCCATGTAGATGTTCATTCTCGAAACCTCTCTGTATCCACTCACGATATAAACAGTGTGGACTACACGGCAGAACTGGAAACAGCATTTTTGAAAGTTTCCCAATCAAAGGGAAAAAGCCTCACCAACACTTAGTTGGAATCCAGAATGTACCCGATGTCTTTCGATCTGATCTGGACATAAGAGACGGGTACAGGATAATCGGTTTAGTCAACCAAGTTTAGTTAGTTCGGACGGCGGTATTCGCCGGCCGACCGTGTTGCATCTCTGGTGGATTGAAAAGTTTTATTCTTCGTTTTGACTAGCTGAAAATTGACAAACGGATTGATGGGAACTACCAAAACTTCGACAGTCTTTCATTTGATGATGCTTGTGGGATCTGAAATTGTCACTTGAAAACATCTGGTCGAATTCCAATCCTTGGCAAGAATTGAGCTCTCTGCAGGAACTAATGGATATTCGTAACAAATAAACCACCTGGATTAAGTGAATAAACGCATGTAGATGAAGATGCTTTACTGAAATTCATAAACCATACAAAATCACAGCGAAGGATGTGGACCTGAGGTCAACTGCTATACATGGCACAACAAAAGGTCTTAACAACAGAGCCCTTTACACATAACTGAGAGAATAAAATTTCTTAAGATGACCGCTATTATTATTTATCCAGTGACTCGAAATGATAATGATGTGAACCAGTTAAGGCTACTATCAGCTCATATTCAACTGTCTATGATTTTCTCCCATTATTTTGACGTATTATCCCAAGGTTTGGTGCTATTCTACCGACCGCAATCTTTCCTTTCTGTAGTGAAACAGGAGGACGATGAAATCGTGTGTCAGATTATCCAGGTGTTCTACTATCTGGTGTTTCACAAGAGAACAATTGAAATGACCGTCAAATCTACTCGTAAGCATTTTTGTTTGAGAGTCGCTTGATTTGTCCTCATAGAGGTACCGGCCTACCTGATCGACCTTATGCATGACAAAAATGCGGAAATTCGTCGTGTCTGTGACATAGCATTGGACATCATAGCCGTGAGTTTCAATGAACATGATCTCTGTGTCTACTAAGTCTTGTTCAGCTCATGATCCAGGATATATATAACCTTTCCTGTGCGCCCCATTTTCAAAACTAATGTTATGAATTACACAGTGATATGGTTGTTTGGAAAGAACTTTTCCGGGCTTATTTTGTGTTTGGGACTTGATTCAGCTGAGGTCATTGTGATGGCTTCAGATGAAAATGTTTTTAAGTGCTGACCGGGACACTGAATTTCCAATGACCACCCTTTATCACACGCGGGTATGACTGTAGGCAAAGCCTTCGTTCAGTTAAAAAGGATGAGAATTTACAGTTTACAGTTGGAATTTCCAGGGCTAAATCTCATAGGGCTTGATACTTACCTCATTCCAGAAGATGACCTTGAGAATTCAGAAGTGTTTGATTTTGGCGCAAAGAAATCGTCGAATTTCTTGACCATGACTCATCCGAGATCATAGTTTCCCCTTCTTTATCCCTTTCGCACGAGTCGGATACATTTCGCTTGGTTTTCATTATTTGGGTCTTCATACCGAATTTTGCGCAGTGTTAGTTAAGTAGATCTGGAATACCGTATCATCTACTATCGTGTGGCGAGAGGCGAAGAAACGAGAATGAATTGTCGACATAGTGAATGAGAAATTAGAGGTTTCGTTAGCAAGCGCACGAAGCTTTGCTGTTGATAAACTTGAGTTGAAGCCCTGATACATTATTAGTTTCCAACCTAGGAACCTAGGATCGCATCATCGGAAGTAGAGCTTTAGGGCCGATATTTCAGGTTCACGCACATTTGATAACACTAAAATGTTTTGTAAGTTGGACGATCAACATGGTATGCTTTATATATGTGTAATGCACTACTTATAAGGTTGCTGAAAGTCCGTCGACAGCCCTTTGGGGCTCATCAGTTAGGCACAGCACCTAGGTTTCCGTCAACGTTGTTTTATCTGAACTTTATATATTGTAATGCACTACTTATAAGGTTGCTGAAAGTCCGTCGACAGCCCTTTGGGGCTCATCAGTTAGGCACAGCACCTAGGTTTCCGTCAACGTTGTTTTATCTGAAACCAAATTGCATGAAATTAGCGAATATGCACTCATTCGCAAACTAATTTGGTTTTTCGAGAGACTCAGGTGATGAACCCCAAAAAGGGCAAAACCGGTTGTGGGCTGTCGACGGACTTACAGCAACTTTATGAGTGGTACGTTACAAATATATACACGTATCGCGTGATCTCGAATATCGTAGCAATTGAAATATGAGGCGGACTGGTGCAGCACATCCAGCTGCCTGGCAACATCGCTCACGGGAGATTCAGCTGGGTTCCAGGTGAGTCTGTCAAAGCCAAATTAGTTTGTACAGGAGTTTATACTCGCTAATGGTATGCTCTAGTTATTTTGCTCTCCTAAGCCCCCCAAAATGACTGTTTCTGAGGTAAGTGATGTTTCACTTCAGATTTAATCGTGAAAATTTAGTGAGACGGAATTTTTCGGCGGCGACAACACATATGAACCGGAATTTACCAGAATCACAGCAGCCAATCCTGGAATATGCCGTTTCTTTTCTAAACCAACAAGCTCTACTAGATAACACCTTAAGGGACTCGATGTTTAAACACGAACCCATCCCTGAATTCAAGAGCACAGCCGCTAATTCATGAAAATATAGTAGTTGCTCGCTTCCGGAGAATGGCAAATATCTGACGCATGGGAGATTTGTAACATCACTTCTGAGTTCTCCTAGTTTCGGTAGCTGCGGCTCAAAGCAGTTCTCAGAAGCTCATATCATAAGGAACATTTGCATGGAAGACCTGACACGGTGGCGACAGTCGATGACCAGTAAGTGTTCTGAGTCTGCAGGCTGAAACTGAAGGCGTTTCTAAAAGGCAGAGGATATCGTTGGTAATGTCAGTAGCTCTAGCCCGCATATGACATATTGCCAATCGCAGAGAGCCAACCTACATGGTTATTTCGATACTGTAAAAAATGGGCAGTGAGATTATCCTACCACCTGGATTGATGCCGGAAACCAAAAGTACAGCTGCTCCTTTTATTAAAGCGCTAACCTTGTGGTATATCTCACTGCCTGAGTTCGACATGGGATACACCGCATGCTTTCACTACGATGTATAACTGGGTGCCAAACGATGCATTCAGCGAAACAAAAGTCAGTAAAGTAGCACATCCACGGCTAATATTGGCTAGAACATGATGAAATTCATCGACCGGCGAATCAGAGGATGATGGAATGACAGTGGCACACTACATATGAGCAGCTGATTGATTATCACAAAGAGAGGGCGCTGATACTGAAGCCGCTTGCATGCTCTATGAAAACCGTTAAGTCAACTGAGCTTTAAATCGATCATGGTTTCCCCATAGTGAAGCCGCATTCAAGCTAAGATTGGGGCAAAGCTTTGGCGCTTTTGTTAATAAGGGTTTTTCCTGAGAACGCGAATGCCGTTAAGCTTGGGCACACCATGAAAAGTTGTTTGTCCCTACTGTTTGCTTACGTGAACAATTAGGTAGCTTTTGTACCTTGAGACTACTGCGGTTTAATCTTATCCTGTACCTAGAAAACACTGTTTCATTACCCATCTTCTCACTTACAGGAATATGACAAGAATTGGGGGACTCGAATACAAGCTGAACGCTTCCGGTGGCATAATAGTCAGTGGCTTGATATGATTGACTCAGCCACCAACCATACGATCATCGGAAACGATCCGACCACAGATGCCGTAATGGCAGCAGCCTTGGCAGCCGGGCACGCGCGTGCTCAACACCGTCGCAGCATCCCATCCGGATTGCGAGACAGTGAGGATGAAGATGATAGTCAGACCGGAATGGATATGGCCATCGATGATGCCACTGCGTTTCTCATGTCGCTTCATGGAAGCTCTGGGTTCCGCAAAACGTCAGCTGATCATGAAGGAAATTTCGGTATTGGCGCCAACGACATGACTTATCTTAATCAGCTGGAACTATTGTATCCAGGTATGTTAAAGCGAGTGTGATAACATTTTATTACTGTCACTTGTCATTTTTATTTGCGTTATCTATTTTTCGTGGACAAAATCAAAATTGCTGCGCGTTTTTTATAGTCAGAGACATGATTATTTCACATACTGATAGGGTGGTTTTGTCGAAGGGTAACGGTACAGATTTCAAGGTCTCTCAGATTTTCAGACACCTATTCTCCAGCACCTGGTTAGTTGGAAAAAAGTGGCAGACTACCGACACTTTCTTCCGTTTTCCTGATGAATAGCCAAGGTCATTTTGCTAAGGAAATGTATAACCTACGTGATTTTCCTTGCATTTTGGTGAGTTTACCTTTTAATCAGCATGTTATTGGGTCTACTAACGGTGTGCACATTTGAAAAATCAAGTGAACATAATCTACCTGTAAACCCTTTCCTCAGCTCCACAAGGCCGCGTAGTGGTATTTTCAACCAAGCGGTCTTGAGTCAGTCTTTTCTTGAAACTGATTAAACGATCACTGCTAATATATGCTGATGTGAATCGATAGGTTTATAGCACCTTTTTGTTTGATGTTATCAACTTGGACCATTAAAGTTCCAACCACACAATCAACACACTGTCTTTTAAAATACACATACTGTGATGTGAACTTTGCAACCAATGGGAAAATTCCATCGAAATTGAAGTTTCATATCTTAAAAGTGTGATCCCGTACAACTTCATTCCCGTGACTGCTGATTGCAGCATTTTTATTCGGCATCTATAATTTCTCCAGTTGACAAAAGTCTATTAAGGCAGTACGTGTGATTTCAGGGAATAAATCGTTGATAGCGTTTAGCTGATACGCTTCTAAGTATTTTGAACCGCAGTATAATGGCATTACTACCCAGGCGGATTATTTTCGAAGAAAAAGCTTCAAGACAACTGGTATGGAATATCAACGTACTTCAGGTACCTTAGGTGATCATCAGTTTTTTAAACGAAGTTTGAATCGTCTGTGGATTGTTATTTCCTTTCAACTTTTCAACGTTTCAGACATGTATGGAGACCTCACTCATCTCGCAACCGAAGCACTTAGTCCACCTTTGACGCGATCCAGTCCTCTTGTCTCCGATTTCGATGAAAATACTCCTACCGACGTTAATATACCGTGAGTTTGTTGAGGACCGATGTATCGGATCACATTTGAGTTTTATCACATCAATAAATTTAGAAGATTTCTTCACAAAACTCGTGAGCTGACCGGTCATTAGTATGTGGGATGCGCTGATTGGTTCGTCTGGTGCTAGGAAATGGGAGAGTGCGTTAACAAGTTGGTGTAATAAGACAGACATTCGACTACCTGGTGAAAGCTCTGGAGACTGGAGCTGAGCTTTCAGACCAAACATTGTTTAAAATCGTGAAATGAAAGATACAGATGACGCTGCGTATATTATACTTGCTACTAGGTGGTAGGCCTGACGACGATGGATATACCGGAGGCCAGAAGTAAACTGATTGTCTTAGCCGGCAAACCGTACTTTAACCTGTTTCGTTTGGAAACCATGTGTCGGTCACTTGTTAACACATAAGAGCACGTCATTACGGCCAGCAGTGAAGGAACGAGCGTGTATTTGATTGATGCACATTAGGTATAAACGCAAAATGGTCAGTGTATTAACATGAATACTTTAGTGTGTGAATTTGTAGAACTATCAAAAGATGGTTGTGTACCAATCAGTTTTTTAATGAGTGGATGTGGGAACTAGTGAACAACTTGTGCTCACAAGGCATGTGCAGACCGGGCACTGTTTGCGATAGCGTCACGTGTCACTTGTGTCTGAAAGAAGCCCTCGTGATGAAATTCTTTGGATTTGCGATGCTGACAATACCTATTCACTGGCTCTCAATCCAACGCAAGGCGAGAATTTCTGCGAAGTTTATAAACTGCTACTTATCCCAGGTGAGTCTACTGAAACCACACAGGAAGAATCGCATGCGACAAGGCTATAGTGAGGTGTTCAAGGAGATTCGACCGGACAGTTCAGCAAACAGGAGAGGTTTTTGCATTTTAGGAGGTGGGAGCTGAATAGTTTTAAAGCTCAAATCACCATATGATTGAACGCGAAATCCGTAAAACTTAAGCGTTTGTGTGACTTCATTTTCTACCTTTTTGTTTGGACGATAAGTGCAAACTGACTACCTTCAATAGAATCTGGTCAGTAGCTGACATGCCACAATATGATTAAAGTTAGCGCTGGTTTGAAAGAAGACACGGTTCAGATGTTTCGCGTAAGTTGAGCATGTGCCAATTTTGCGTAGTAAACAATAGAATCTGGTCAGTAGCTGACATGCCACAATATGATTAAAGTTAGCGCTGGTTTGAAAGAAGACACGGTTCAGATGTTTCGCGTAAGTTGAGCATGTGCCAATTTTGCGTAGTAAACATTTAAATACTGTCCTTCGTGGAAGCACAAGGCGAGAATTGTTCCCTTTGTTCGGATCACTGAAGAGATCATTGGAAGGAATCATTTAATTAACTATCATGATATGAGTGCTACGTTGCCAGTTTTATTAGAAAACTGATCAACAGAACCATCAGGACAATGACATGGTGAACTTCACAGGATCTTGATAAAGTCTTCTGCACTAAAGATACGTCTGACACTTATTCAGATTTGAATATATAGTTGGGGATTCTCAGCGGCGCAGAGAAATCTCACGAATCACAAAGCAAGCGTTTATAAACGTCGAGCAGTGTCCATAATTCAGTTATTTATATGACGTTCCTTAGGTCATATATGTAGTTCAGGATGACCATTTTGAGTAATGTTCGACGTAAACCCGAAAAAGTTTGCTCACATCGCTTAAGGATGACTTGCCACTTTCCAATAAGTTTGGCTTTTCACTTTTCACAAACATCATATCCGGGTTCCTGAAGGTAGCATTTAATTCATGCATCCTTTGTAAACCTCATGAGTTTCAAAGAAGACATCGATTATATAGCAAAATGAACCATAATAGATTCTAATGACTACCAGCCTTAGGCTAGTGTGGCTGGCGGAGCTCGGACGGATTTGCCACCAACTGCCGAAAAGAAGGGTTTTTAAGCGGATCGGTGGCTGTGTCGTTTGCGACAATTCATCCTCAATCTCTTTAGCGCAAAAATGGCGCTCATTTTCATACCTATAAATCAAACTTACTAGAATCGAGAAATATGTTAGCATTTTGAAGAATATTTCATCAAACGGAAATGTCTACCTTAGTCATTGACGTTTACTTTTGAACCCGATTAATCGTATTCATTTGTTTAAATATTTGTAGAGGGCTTGTCTAATAGTTACCTCTTCAACATTCTGTACGCATGTATTGTCAATTTAAGGCGCAAAATCACGCACATACACAGTCCGTTAGGGTATTCCATCCCCATCTCCATGGTTTTATCAACAAAACAAAAAACCCTCATGTTGGTCCGCCGGACGGGAATTGACATATTCTATGCTACTCAACCTTGATTATGTATGTGCTCGAGACAGCGCAGTGGGTACGACAAAGAATTACTCACTGGGACGTTCGTGATTCAAACCTAGACCTGACAGCTCGACTGCTTCAGTCTTGACTTGGGTAATCGGACTGTATCTAAGCTTTGAATCTTCCTTTCAGAGGCATGGTAGCTAGGCACAAGAATGGTTATTTCATTATCCGATTTGATTTGATGTTTTTACGTAGAGTTCACCTATGAAGTGCATTCTGTCATATTCTCATTTCATTATTATTGCAGGTCTCACGAACTTTATGCGACGCATGGTGGAGGGGGAGATCTGACATGTAACGGCAATCAAAGTACTTGGTCCTTGAATAACGTTCAAAAATAAAAGGAATCGTTAACACTGCCAACACTCATCACAAAATGTATATACCGCTCGCATTGTTTGTTTATTCATTTCGGTGTCACCAGGGTTGCTTCTCTCATTTTGTTAAAAAAAATTTCAGTGCTAAATTTCGATGGGCAAAAATCCAAAAATTTGTTTAACTTAACGAAACCAAAGCAAACGTGAATGCGGCACAAGAAGGGCAGCCAAAGCGGAGAAGCAATCACTTTATCAGTGTATCCAGAGTCGCGAATTAGAAACGAAACTACAGTTCAGCCTTGAGTAATGTTCACTTTAGAGTCATCAATTCCAGTATAATAATTTCGTAAAATCCGAAAGCAGATCACTGTCACTGCATTTGCTGTCGCTTTAGCAATACAAACAACACGTGTATATTACAGCCAAGCGATGCATTTTTTGCACCTCATCGCTAACACTGTTATGATATCTCACTATAAATGCACATTAGATATAAACGCAAAATGGTCAATTTACTAATACGAATAATGTAGTGTGTGAATTTGTAGAACACTTTTGTAATCGGCGTCACACCAAGTAACTGGGCGACCGACGTTACCCCATTTATAACCTATGGCCGCCGCATACTGGTGGTGGATCCTGGCCTGCAAATTCCGTTCCGGTGGATAGTTTTAGCTACAACCCTCTCTATCGCAACCTTCATATGGTTTCTGGATGCACGCGATGGGACCTCATCGATGATGGCTCGAAACTGGGAACTTCTTCGGAGTAATGTTCATTAAATTCGCTTTTTTTGTTAAATTTTACTTTGTTCTAGGTGGACTACCCCGGTTCAGTCGCATTGCTTAAAACGCCACCAGAAACAGGGCAGATCATGTTGCCCGAGTAGCCCAAGATACGCCCAGGCTGAATTTAACCGAACGCTGAGCTTGTGATCATCCCGTCAGCAGACACTCTCTGAATTTCGTCTCTGTACATGGCATCTGACGACCAACAGCGTGACAGTGAATAGTGCGCCCTCAAAAATGCCCTAAAACAGCCAGGTGCCTCATCCCACACTCATAAAAGCTGACGTCCGTCCTCACAATTATGACAGTATTAAGCACACTAACTTAGCGAAGATATACAAACTGGTCAACTGGCGAAGACTAGACAAGTTTTAAGAATACCTGTTATTTTGCGTACCTCTATACAGGCTTTTGTAAGCCTCATGGACCATCTATATATACCTGGGCGGTGTTTATTGGCCTTGAAGACCTTCTCAACGCTCCAGGGAACTGGATGCCTTGTGACTGCTCATCTGTTATGCGACGCAACAAAATGTCAGTCTGGGTGCGTGCACACATTGGTCACCAGCCACCGCCTAAAGCATCAACCCTAAGAGACTCAAACCACCACAAGCCATCTTAAACCAGCTTCCTTCACCAAAAAATAACACCCATCTGACGGGGTTGTTAATTTGTACCGTCGTTTATCTCTAGTGGTGCCTTCCGGGACGTTCCCTCACAGACGTTGAGGATGCAGACGATATTGCTCTTCTTGGTTTAGATCCTTCCCAAATGCAAACGATTTTAAATAGTCTAAGCAACTCCGCCGCACAGTTTGGCATGCGCTGCTACAAGACTGGGTGGGTTCAAACCTACACCTTATGCTTGCGGGTGAGCCAGTCGACGTAGAAGTTAAATTTGCCTACCTGGGCAGCTGTATAGGTCCCTGGTGGGTTGGCTGGAGGTGAGATCACTTCTCGCATCGTAAAGGTCAGATCAGCTTTTGCCAGCCCCCGACACCTATGTCGCCGTCCGTCGAATTATTTGTAAGGAAATAGTTTACAATGCGGTGGTGCGATCCGTACTGCTTACTGGATCCGAGACGTGTCCCCTACGCGCAGGTAACATACGGAAGATGTCAATGTTTGATCATCGGTGCGCCGTCGTGACATGAGCCTGTTTGTAAGGGAATAGTTTACAATGCGGTGGTGCGATCTGTACTGCTTACTGGATCCGAGACGTGGCCCCTATGCGCAGGGAACATTCGGAAGATGTCAATGTTTGATCATCGGTGTCTCCAAAGCGTTTGTTAGGTCTCGTGAGAACATCAAATGAGTATTGAGGTGAGCCAGATGATCTTAAGAAGAAGGAAGGATCCAGCGACAGATGAATTCCAGGTCTCGTGGGAACATCGAATTAGTACTGATGAGGTGCGCCAGATGATCTTGGAAAGAAGGAAGGATCCAGCGACAGATGAATTACACACGCTTCATAGAGCCTGTACTCCGCATGTCGGAAAACCATCTGCTTCACAGAGTTCTTTTTGTCCAGCCCAGTGCTGAGTAGAGGCGACCGATAGGTGACAAACATAACCTGGCAACGAAGTCGAGTGGGCAACTACCGCCACTATTGGGACTCAGACCACAGGTAGTTAATGACGTTGGCGGAAATGACCGAATCGCGCAGTCAGTGACGCTCGTGCATCGGAGCTATCGCTTTCAATGCGTAGCTACCCAATTTCCGAACAAAGTGAACATGCCATCGCCTCCAAGACTTGGTTGTATGTTCCACTTCCCCGGTCTCCGGCGATCGAAACCGTAGCATCTGGAGCCGACATGCCCATGACACATGGTTTATAGCTGATAAAGTGAATGGAATTGAACTTTTTGAAGAAATTCACGTTTACAAACACCTGTTACCGGACTTTTGTAGCACTCGCGAAGACTACTCCACATACAATCTGTCACAATCCATGCCGTGAAAGCATCTTTTTTGTCAACGACAGATGTTTCGGATGTGGTACCGTTCTACAGCGACATGGTGAAGAGTAATGACACTCCTTAGTCCTTTGCTTAGAGTCCTTAGTGCTAGCAGAGTCACGCCATGATGTTTCTGGTCTTGAGTTGAATACCGGCCACTCAGTGAACACCAGTTTCAAGATTGAACATTTATACTGTTCACTGTTCACGAACCACGGATATCTCTTCAGGGGTCAGCGTATGACGGACGGTTTACCCTGAAATCACCTCACGGGCTTGACACACCACAGCGTGCCGGTCTCCAGAAGTGCTGGCATCGTTGGCCCTGCTGGAGTCAAATTTGGAGAAGTGGCTAAAATTGAGTAGTGCCTTCTGTGCCGCTAACCGATGATGTCATTAAGGAACTTGCGCTTCGTTGGTCGGATAATTAGTATATTAGGTGCCCATATTAGCATCCGCACTGTGGTCGACTTAAATCCCAATTTTGTTTGCTGTGGCCTACAGTCAATTGTCTGGCCACCAGCACCATCTACAATGCGGAATGATGGGTTTTGCTGCTCAACATCACCATAACAAAATCGAAAATGGGTTCTGTAGTTGGCACTCTCTTCAAGCGCTTGTTTTAAGTTGTGGTTGTGAACCTGAGTTCTTGTGTTTCCCTCTATCTCCCTTAACTTTTTTGTCCTCAGCTTTGAGAATGGCCCGAAATCGTGCATGCTTACTGACCAAACGCTCCTCCACAAGTTTATCCTCCTGTAACCAATTGATTTGTTTACGTTCACGAATACTACGGTGCTTTTCAATCTACTCTAACTTTGCCCACATACCAAAGCCCAGAAGCTTCATCGGCGGGACTTGAACGCAGTGTTCGTAGAAAACAACGACTGCGATTAAATTGTGAGACAAGTTTAGTTGCCATTACCACACCGAAGACAGACCAGCTCAAATCAGGCATGGTAATGGGGTAGTAATATGGCTGGTCGAAGGATGAGAGCAACATCAGTATGTTGCGATGATTGATAGTTCGAACCAGGGGCCGCACGTGTTCATAAATCTTTGTAGCTGATCTAGTGAAGCCAAGTTGTTTAGTGGTTCTCCGAAGGACTGTTTCTCTTGAAACGCGCCCACCTCTCTTAATTTTTCATTCGTAGCTTCCTTCCTGAAACTTGCGCAGTAGGAACAATTTTAAGAGTTCGTGTTGCGTACGATGGAGGTCCTGCTATTGATGCTGTGTAGTCAAACATAATGCCACAGGATTCAGGGCTTAGCTACCACAAGCATACGGCTGCTCGTTGGTCCTGGGGAGCTAGACCAAGTCGTATAAGGTGCGATCTCCCTTCAGACGAAATTTAACCTTAAGTTCGACTTTCCGCACTCCGGCTATGGATTTTTCTTCTGTGTGAACCTCGCAAAAGTTTTACAATTCCGTGGGTATGTCTTCGTTGCATGGTCTTGTAAGGCGTCTGCATATTCATATGATGATTCGCCAGGGAGCTTGTTCTGGTTGAAAAACGGCCTCAAAGATATCACTTCGATGTAGTGTGTCGAAGACGGAGGTCAAGTGAATCTAGAGGGCGTACTGCGCTGCAGGGTGACGCAGCGTGAGCGGAGTCATATACACGAGGCAGGATGAACTTTTCGTGTTGTTGCGAAGGTACCCTTGATAACAATAATGATAATAATAATAATAATAATAATAATGTTTATTCCCAACTTGTGGGTGGCATACCGTCTGGCATGATCATAGTTTTACAGTCAGAATGGAGCATGACTTAGGGAAGTGTGGGGGTGCGGATTGCACAAAAAGAGGACAGCGTCATGAACAGTGGGGAATACCCGATGATATAGTGATAATAGGTTATTTCCCAACTTGTTGAGAACAATGGGCATGAGGTCCAACTAGTTCAAAGACAGTCCGGTGGCGCGAACTAAAACTGAAAACCATTGCTGGCCATGGGCGACCTTGGGTGGTTATGTAAATAGCCGGAGTCACAACGAGCAAAAGTGGAGATGGGGATGGGTTAATTCAAATTGGGAGCACATGGCGAGTTTTGTCTCAAAAATGTGGTTCAATCTGAAAGTAAGCAAACTTACTGGTTGCACTGTTGCACGGAAGTCAGGTGCAGGGGAATAGGTTGAATGGGGGCAAGTTGCTAATACATAGGGTGACCGGAACTCCGTATACGGATTTGAACTTGTGGAAGAGGCAAGCCGAAATTGTAGCAGAAAGCCAGGCTAGCCAAATCTGAGCAAAAATTCATTGGGTTCGGAAAAGCTCATCCCAGAGACGAGGCCGGATGAGAACTGC